CACCAGTAACCAAAGGAAAAGAAAAGGAGCAGCAGAGATGTGATGCCTTACAGAGCGCAGAAAGGAGCTCAAAAGAGATGGCAGGATTGGCGAGCAACAGTCACAGGAGATTTTTAGAGCAGCGCTCTGGACAAACTAAGAGGGACCAAAGGGGAGACTGAACAGAAGACCTTGTATCCAAACAAACAGCAGCTGTTGGAGATGCTGGGACAAGAATTTTAAGGAAGAGGTTTCATTTGAAGAGTGCTGTGATTTCAGTAAGTCTCCCACTACAATGATTAAAGAGAGCACAACCACCCTCCAATTAAGCCTTCATCAACAGATTTTGAGAAAGAGGAACTAAAAGCTTGAGAATTGAACACAACGACAATTCACTTGAATTCCTAGTTGTGTCTTCTCTGCTCTAAACATGGCATGACCATGGACCCTTGGGTGAAGCTGTGGATCCGCAACCATGTGTTGTTCTGAAAAGTAATGGAAAAGCTGGAGGCCAGGGCCTGTACAAGCTAAGGCATACAGCAGGGTGGCACGTCCCAGGTTGTTAGGTATTTCTATACAAATCCTTCTTCCCAGCTAGGCCTTATGTTCGTTTTGATTCTGATACACTCCACTTTGAAAACAACTGATCCAGAGAATAGATTTGTTATACAAGTCAGGTGCACGCAACTCCAAAGACCGTCACCCACAAACTTAAAGCAGAATGAAATGTAACCAGAAGCCAACATTTCATCTTCTCCAAAGGTTCTAAGAGCACAGTTATAAGAAATAGAAAGTTTAAAAGTCCTGGCTGAAAAATGCATCAGGAATGTATTCCTATCAGGCCCCAGTGGTGATGCCAATACTTTATCCATTTACTAAAAGCTATTGTGGCTCACTAGGCAGTCCAAAGAAATAAAGTACATGAGGGATGTACTCTTCAAGACAGGCTTTTAGTAACTTAAGTGCAGTAAAGCGACAGCACACTCTTCAGAAACACTTGCATTAACCTAAAATTTCAGTTAAATAAAAAAAATCCCCCAACCTACATCACTGCAAAGTTCCCTTCCAAGACAAATGTGCTTTAATTCTGTTTCAGAAGGATGTCTCAGAGTAAGACAGGAAGCAAGTCTGCAGTCGCTCAGCGTACGACTGACTCTGCAACAGCAGATGAGAACGCAGCATTTGTAGAGGCAGTTTTGTAAAGCACTGGGCTTTGTCCTGAACTGAGACTGTATTCACAGTTAAAATACATTCGCCAGCAATGATTTTCATTCACTGCTGATTTACATAGCTCGTCTGAAGTCTCCAAATGCATTTTCCAACTTTGAGGTGCATCTTCCCAAGCAAATCCAGCAGGCTGAATTCTCCATTGCCCTACAGCTTGTGCAGTCAGTTCAGCCTGTGTAAAGTGCTGGCAAGATCTAGTGCCCTGGTTCATAAGGATTTTACACACCTTTTGTACCATTTTTTCATGGGGAAGGCACAAGAGTGATGCATGACTACAGCAACCATGAAGCAGTATTTTATTGGCTGTTCCACAAGGGTGTGCAATGTAATTCTCATTTTGGACCTGCAGATCTCAAATCAAACCTTACCCTAAGTTTCCAAAGGGCATTGTGCAGTCAAAAGCAAGGACTTATTTTAGCCACCAAGTCTCTCATGTTTAACGTATTCTTCTTACTCTCTCTCAGTAACTTACAGCCTGGAGCAGACAGCTGCAGACATGATCTATTACAAAGGGCTTCCAAACTTGAAGGATTAGCCTGTCATTAAAAAATGTGAAAAGTGGCATTCAGTACGTACCAGCAAGTATAAACTTTCTTTGCTGTGTCGTGATTATTGCGGATGTGTCTACGCAGACTGTTGGAGGCATTAAATGAGCGTTCACACTGTCGACAGGGATATCTCTTCATAGACTAGCAGAAGAACAGAAATATCTTTTAATAACAAGGAGATGGAAGGCACTGACTGGATTCTAACATTCTCATGCTCTTCGTCGGGACCTCACCTCTCAGGTGCAAAAAAATCCCTCTTCCACTGATAAAGATCACTGAGATTTTGGGGTCCCACTTCTACCCAGCCCAACAGTTGGCTAATACCAGTACTGGTCTTATAAAAAACAGGACTAGTTAAAACACATGGTTGATTTTTATTTTTATTTTTTTTAATAGAAATTGCATCAGCTGCTTCTCCTGTGGGTTCATTTCATTACAGGACCTTCTGCAGAATTAATTCAGTGGAAGGTCTCTTCTGCCCCAGAAGAAGGCAGGACCCCAGTGTGAAGTACAAGTCCACTTAACCCTTCTCTCTCCTCATAATTCAGCACAATAAAAGGGCAAGATGTTAAAGAGCATCACAGAGTCCCACTCGTTATCCATGTATGATATCCATGTCCCCCTACGCAACTCTGCCCTGTAACTAGCCTCCTCCTTTTCCCACAGTCCTTTGTATAACCTGCATGTATTTAAAATCATTCTTAAGACTTGTTTCATGAATACATATATGCATTGAACTTAAATGTCTGGCAAATTTCCCACTTCTATAGAATTCAAATGGGAAAATCCAGCATTCTCACCCTGCCCCCATCTTGATACTTATCGAGTGGGACAATCCAGCACTCCCCAAGTCAAGCTAGAAGGAATTAAAGACCATGATCCAGATTTCCACAGCCTCTGCTCATGGGACTCGAGAAGGGTGACTCAGCATATCAGACAAGAAGTCCTGATGCCAAAGTTCTAAGAAATCTGGCTGCGCAGATCGTGGCCTATGTTCTGCCAGCCAGCAAGGATTAGCTTGACAGAAGTAGGTCAAGGCAACACAAGGCTTAAGCTGGATGAAACCAATAAAATTGAGATTTACAGTTCTTACAATGATAGCTCTGCACACTGCATGAGTTTGTAACTCTTCCCCAGTTAGATGTGGTGACATCTACCAAACAATACATCATGTAGAGGAACCGTATGTCCTCTGTAACTTTGGAGTGTAGATAGTTTAGATCAGACGGTTGAACCAGCAACTGGAGAAGAAACAACTTTCCATCCACTTACCCAGATGAGCCAAAGAGGAAGCCTGACATTAGATGCAGTGGGAGAAGGAACACGAAAGAGGATGAGGTACGGAGGTTGTGGAGTATACTATCAAGGACAGAAAGCGTGCTTACAACAGGCTACATCATTTGTTTTGTTCTGGCCCTGAGCTTACTCCTCAGTGAGCTGGCAAACAGATTCTCAGTTTCTTTTTGCCCCAAACATTAATGATTATCAACTTGTTTGCTAAAGATATCTTGTTACCTAGTTGAAGTGTTGCACCTGAGTCCTTACCCTTCCATGATTTCTCTTCATGTGAGACACATAGGTTTCCCGATCGGGGACCCACTGTGTACATTCCTTGCAAGTCCAACCAGTTCTTCTCAGTCTGGACTTGGATTCTGGATTGTGTCCTTCCACCCTCATGTCCTTCCTCAGCAGAGGGGAGTGGGAAGTCCCGTTGGCTACCAACAGCTCCTTTGGTAGGGTATGAACCTGGTTCCTTGATGCCTTCTCAGATTTCCGTCGAAAGTTTGAGAGCTCCTCAGGATTTTGGGGGACTCCATGAACACCCTGGACAACAATAATAATAATAGAGTCACACATAACATTTATATGTAATTCATATTATATGCCTTTATTTATAAATAAATAACATTTATTATTTAAATAAATAAATAATTTAAGCCCCCCACTCCCCAAAATAATATGTTGATGTCTTGCTCCCACTTATCTTCCCATTTCCCCTTGAAGCTGGCTGCAGTGCTTTCCCTGGCATGAGATTTTCCCAAGAAACATGAAGCTTCTATTTACGTTTCCTGCATGACAACAGCAGCTCCTTGCTGCTGCCTGTTTAACATTTTGGATGAGCTCTGAGAACTCTGGTTAAACAGGGAAGATGTAATGGAAGAGAAATGTTAATTGTCATTATTTCAAGAGCCTAAGCTTTAAAAACGCAGAGCTTTGGTAAGCTCTGAATGAAATGTTCGTTGTTATCTTGGGGGCTCCAAAGCTGCTTCATCTTTGCACAGGGGATGGGAAGAGACAACCTCTCAGTTTCTCCAGCCCTGCTTTCTTCAGTTCTACACCATCTATTGCTATTTACATTTTCATGGTTCAAAACTTTGCTCCTGACAAATAAAAGCAAGCATAAAGCCAGAAACCAGCCTTATAAGGAATGTCTTCAGGCTCTTTGGTTGTTCAACAGGCCAAAATCCAGAGTCCCCCCAAAAGTTATTTTAACAAAGAAAACTGAACATAAGGAAAATAATCCAGAAACGAAGAGCTGTGGGAAAGCAGAAGCAAGTAAAATAGCAACATACCAAAGAAACCTCAAGAAACTCCCCTAGGAACAACAACAGTTCATCCACACAAAAGGATTATTTAGAGGTTTAATTGTGCACAGTAATTAATAACGGGTAAAGTTTCAACACATGAAGGCCCCAGGCCTCTGGAAGTCTTTCTGTGGGTTAGACACCAGACAAACTTCAAAACACAAGGTCTCATCTCAGAAGCCTGTGTGCTTTGCACCTGATCCAGCTGATGGCTGCAGAAGCTTTTTCATACAATGGCAGGGCAATGACACGAACAGTTCACCTTTCTCCCCATCTGGAAATCTCAAGAGTGTTTTCTGAGCAAAAAGTACATTAGTACCCATTATTCCATTTCTCCTGTTATTACACCACTGGGGTGAAAAAAAAGGAGCACAGAAAAATGGACTGACTTCTCTGCAGAATCAGTAACAGGAACGAGACTTTCTAACTCTTACTCTTACACTTTAACAATAGAAAGCCAGGGAAGATGAGAAGGCACACGGTTTCTTTATTTTTCATGTAGGCACACATCAGACAGCACCTCCTATAAACTGTATTTCATAAAGGAGCAGGATCTGATAGGAGAGGAGATGGGTTAGTGCAATTACTACCCTGCCACAGCCAAAAAGCCTTCTTCAATTACCATCTCAAAGGCCTGTTGATGGCCAAATACAGCCTCGTGGTTAAAAGCCAGAAGTTTTGTAGTGGAGATGTCAGGGTGCTGGTGAACAAACTGCTGGAGGCAGGTCCCTGGGGGTGGGATTTGCCAATGAGCCACAACAAGTCATATACCTCAACTCAAGCCTGTCTTTTAGCATTGGTGCTGAATGCCTCTTTGAAGGTTCCAGCCTTAATCTCAAGTCTATTTTCCTAGCTATAATACACGAAGACTAGCAATCATCAGCTTCACAGGAGGGCTTCAAATTTTAATTCATTATTGCATGCAAAGCATTTCCAGATTTGCAAGTTAAAGGCATAGAGGAGACAGCAAAGAAGTAGTTTTGAATGGTTTTTGCTTTTAGGAGTAAGCTAATGAATCTTCTTGCTTTTTAAGTGTAAGTATAAACAAAAAAGTCACTGATTAAAAAAAAAATGTCATTTTTTTTTTCTAATCAAAGGGAAATAAGACTTTGCAAACTCTTTCTTCAGAATGCCAGTGAGAAATCTTCCGAGAGGCTTTCCATGGCAGTGTTGTTAGACACTGTACATAGAAACATACTAAGACAACAGAAAAATGTGGTGCTCACACATTTATGGGATAATCAGATCTGCAAGTCCTCACACGCATCCTGCTAGAAACCACCACCAAATGGACAATAACCGGCTTTTCACATGTAGAAAAGAGCAATGAATGATAGTGAGATTATTGCAGTGCTTATTGCAATATGAGCTGTAACTGAGGGAGGGTAGGTTAGAAGCACTCTCCAGACCTCCATTTCCACCAAGTTTTGGGGTTGCACACAACTACCCATTTCAGACCACCTTCAGGAGCAGCCTGAGTGGTGCCAGCATGCATGCACGCAAGGTGGAGGTCTCACCTCCCAAAGGCTGGTACCTCCAGGGCAATTCCTTCTGCCTCCGTCACTCCCCTCCTGCAGTCCAGTGTGGTTCTGCAGAGCAGCCAGGGCAGCAGGGCACTAAATGCCATGCAGCCTCTCTCTGAGGCAGCTGCAAAGGGGCTAAAGCTCTCTAGGTGAGCACCCAAAAGAGGGAGATTCAGCGTTCGTTATATAAATGGAGTAACACTGTGGGTAGAGAATACTTCTCCCTGTCTCCCAACAAAAGATAAAGCTCCCACCCTGGTTTAATCACTGCCTTGGGTTTAATATAGAACAGTTAAAAATCAAAAAGATTTACCCCTAGAAAACAAGCCTTTGTCATAAGGTTAAATTACGTATAGATGAGAGTAGCTGCCTGCATTACTACCAGCTAACATGAAATGCTCCACTGATGTTTCCAGAAAATACTGTAAATCATTGTAGTCTATTTTTTCACTAATACATTCCGCAAGAACTTTACACTTCTTCAACCAATTTCCTCACACAGTTGATGTAAACTCTCTGTGAACTCAAAAAATAGGACCTCGTATCAGGAAGTGGTGGGAGTTACCTACCTTAACGTGCTGCATTAGCTGCTGTTTCTGCATATACACCAGCTGACACTGTGGGCACTTAAACACTCCTACTAACAACTTGTTGGTGTTCTGCTGGAAGTGCTCTTGGAGCAGCCTCTTCTTGTTAAAGACTGTCTCACAAGAGCATTTGTAGATCACCCTGGAACAATTAAAAAAAGTAAACTCAGTCTGTCTTCATTAGTTATCTTAAGAAAACAGTGGAAAAAGTTATCTCAGCAACTTCAGAAAGGGACGGGATCCAAAAGAGGGCTGCGCTCTCAATGTATTGTCAACACTCACCCACGTGGACAACTGAACCATTAACTCAACTGGGAAGAACAACAAAATGCCTCCGGCACATACCACAGCTTTCTAAAAATAAGTTTACTTCTATAACTACATACGTGTGTGTGTCGGTAAGTGCAGACAGATGGGAGCAAACTCAAAATATACTAGCTAGCTACACATTACTTTCAGTCCCACCTTTTCATCGTTCTCCCTTAAAGCACACCTTTTCAGCACTAGCTCAAGCCCTGGAGGGGAAAGCTACAGAGTGGAAAAAACAGGTTTCTCTCTAGTGATTTTTGGGGGAAACACTGCATGCCACTGTGGGTCCTGCCAGACAAAGAGGTGACAATGAAGTTCACTTTAAGGATGTTCAACTCTTCCCTGCCCAAACTGCTCTCCTCCTACTCAGGAGACTGGAGCTGTACCAAGGACAGCATGCTGTGGCTAGGAACAGATGCCCGCCTGCAGACAAAGCGGCAGATCTCATATGAGGACAGAAACCAAAAACAGAAAAAAATGGGAGGGAAAGGGGGAATCCTGGAGCTACCCAGCAAAGCAGAAGAAGAGATAAACCCAAAATACTTACCGAGTAGTCTTGTGAGGCTCTGCTGGGTGCTGGCTGGTCATGTGAGCCGTGGTGCTGTCGGCTGACTTGAAGGCCATTGGGCAAAAAGAACACTTGTGGAAGACTTCGCAGTGTTTCTCGTGGATGTGTACTTTCAGCATGGCGAGGGTCATGAAGACAACTCCACAATGGATGCACCTGGGGGACGCACAAAGAAAGAGCCGAGTTACAGCCACAGCGTTGCTTCCACAACGGTGCAGATGGAGGCAAGCACCAGGCTACAGCGGCTCCTCATTTGGTCTCTTCAATAGCAATGTGGAAGAGTCAAGGAAGAATATGATACAGGAATTCACAAGCTGGGCAGATCTTGCAACTAGATATTAGTGACAAGAAAACAAGATCTATAAAAGAAGTCTTCAGAGACTAAAACAACCCAGAAAGAATAAAGGAAGATGTGGTTCAGCAAAATGAAAGTATCTGAGGAGATGTCTAGGTAGCAATAAGCAGCATAAATACTGGTTAGTTCCCAGTACAAAATAAAAAGAAAAAGAATATTCAGCTAGGAAATCTTCAGTAACCCTGTGCAATTGCTTCTCATACTCCATTAAGCACTAGAAAATAATGACTGCAACAGCAAAGATACTGAAAACAGCAAAAGAAATGCCCAAGGAACTGATTAAGCTCATTAAAATCATTAAGACACAAGTGTTGCCTAGAAAGCGCTTGTCTAGAAGCTGGGTGGATGCTCCAGGAGGAGGGAGAGGAAGAAGCAAGGGTTGCACGTGGAGCCAAAGGATTGTTGCTGGCAGCTGAAAACATAGACCCGGGGCCAGGAGGAGTGCCAGGATCACCCCGCCGGTCCCAGCCTGTCACTCCTCCCAACGCATGCCCGTGACAAGCCTTGCCTGATACTCCCCCACAATGGCAACAACCAGCAGCCTTACTATATTTAACTTTAATACTCTCCTGAGAACCCACCCACCTGCTGTGCTCCACACACCAACACTATGAGGGCATATGAGGATGCAGCCACCTGCCTTTGCCTGCCTCAACGACATGAGCCAGAGGGTTTACAATCCCCACAAGAGCACCTAAGGTCTGATCCAGGACCAGAATAGCCTCTCCTAAGAAGATCAATTAAAATGACTAACGGCGGATCTCTGCTTATGCCAGCACTGCACATATGGACCACTACAGCAGAGGAGCTCAGCTGGGCAATGAAGGAGGCCAATGCTTGTGCTTGCAGGATGTGAGAGACTCACAAGGGATAACTTCCTATGGCAAGCCTGCAGTTAATCTGCCTTATTATACCTTTTTTCCTTCATTCTGAGGTCTGCCGTTCGCCCACGGCACTGTTAGGGTTTGTGCATTCAGCAGTGCCACGGCACGGACGCTGCCATCACAGATGGACCCCAGCTATCGAGAAGAGCTCCAAGGCCGTATCAAAAACAAACAAGCCGCTAGATTATCCTTCCCTCCGAATGAGCTGCCCAACAGTGTTTAGGAAACAAGCCCATGCTTTGAAGTTACACTTCAAAAGATTGTTAGGCAGAAGCCAGCCCGAAGGAGCCAAACCCTCTCCCCTCAAAATAGAGACAGAAATGCTGTTTTCTTAAATTTAGAGAGGGAAGCAGTGACAATAGCTGGTGTCATCTTTGGGGAAGCATGAAAACATTCTGCTTGTGTAGCTCTGCCTTCAAGCCTGATCGTCTGTAATGGGTCTGCGTGGCAAGGTTTTGGTAGCGGGGGGATTACAGGGGTGGCTTCTGTGAGAAGCTGCTAGAAGTTTCCCCTATGTCCAATACAGCCAATGCCAGCCGGCTTTAAGACAGACCCGCCGCTGGCCAAGGCCGAGCCCATCAGCGACAGCGTTTTTGCCTCTGTGATAATGTATTTAAGGGAGTGAAAAAGTTGTTGGGCAGCAGTAATTGCAGCAAGTGAGAGGAGTGAGAATATGTGAGAGAAACATT